GCAATCCTTCCGGCTCAGCCTTCCAAGGAGCTGGAACTACAGGCGCGCGCTACCACGCCCAGCTAATTTTTGATTTGTTGTAGAGATGAGGTCTCGTCAAGTTGCTCAGGCGGGTCATAAACCCGCGGGCTCAGGCAATCCACTCGCCTCGGCATCTCAGAGTGCTGGGATTACAGGCTGAGTCACTGAGCCTAGTCCATTATATTTTTTAAATGGTCACCTTGAGAGGATGACAGGGAACCAATTTATTATCTTGAAAATTAGTAAATAAAGGACAAGGATCAAGCATTTATCCTGCTTTTCCTATATAGATTTGGTAAACAAATAACAGATGAGGGGAAATGTTTCTAAAATATTATTAGATCTAATACATAAAAAGGAAGTGATACAACTAGAATATCACCATTTTGCAACCTCCAATGCACAGCTGCTAAGATCACAAAAAGAGACACAACCAGACAACATGTGTTTCCTATAGCCATGTCAAATACTCTCTGTAGTCTTGCCAGAAAGATCAAGTTTGAGTTTGAATTAGACTCCTCCTAATTTGTAAGAAATACAGAGGAGAGAACAACATGCTAAACTGCAATGCAATTAGTAAAACCTAGGAAAATTCATCAGGTCAAACAGGCCAATTCTTCAGTAAATAAAATGTAAGAAAATTGGCCATCTGGGCTCGGTGGCTCAGCCTGTAATCCCATGCCTTTGGAAGGCTGAGGTGAGTGGATTGACTGAGCCCGCGGGTTCGAGACCTGTCTGGGCAACTTGGTGAGACCTCATCTCTAACAATAAATCAAACATGAGCCGGGCGTGGTAGCACGCACCTGTAGTTCCAGTTACTCGGAAGGCTGAGGCAGAAAGATCGCCGGAGCACAGCAGGTCGAGGTTGCGGTGGCCGGGAGCGGCCACTACACTCCAGTCTGGGTAACAGAGTGAGACTCCAACTCAAAAAAAAGAAAAAAAAGAAAATTGGCCAGGCATGGTGGCTCTTGCCTGTAATCCCAGCACTCTGGGAAGCAAAGGTGAGAGGACTGTCTGAGTCTAGGGCTCTGAGACCAGCTTGGGCAACTCTGCAAGACCTTGTCTCTACAATAAATCAAAAATTAGCTGGGCTCGATGGCTCAACCTGTAATTCCGCGTCTTGGGAGGCTGAGGTGAGTGGATTGCCTGAGCCCGCAGGTTCGAGACCTACCTGGGCAACTTGGTGAGACCTCATCTCTACAATAAATCAAAAAAATTACCAGGCATGGTAGCGCGTGACTGTAGTTCCAGCTACTTGGAAGGCTGAGGCGGAAGGATCGCCGGAGCCCAGCAGGTCGAGGTTGCGGTGGCCGGGAGCAGCCACTGCACTCCAGTCTGGGTCCAACTCAAAAAAAACAAAAACAAAAATTATCCAGGTGTGGTAGTACACATCTGTGGTTCCAGCAACTTGGAAGGCTGATGTGGAAGGATCACCTGAGCCCAGCAGCTGGAGGCTGTGGTGGCTGTGAGCATGCCACTGCACTCCAGCCTGGGTGACAGCGAGACTAAACTAAAAAATTTAAAACAAGAATAAATTGCAAAAAAATGAAAAAGAAGCCTGCATATTAAAAAATTTAAAAGATATCACATTTTTTTAAATGAGCAAAACTAAGCTGGGTGCGATGGCTCACACCTGTAATTCTAGCTCTTCGGGAGGAGGAGGCAAGAGGACTACCAGAGTCCACTGGTTCGAGACTAGCCTGGGAAAATGGATGAGACCTCGTCTCTACAATAAATCACAAAAATTAGATGAGCACAGTGGCACACTGTGGTTCTAGCTACTTGTAAGGCTAAAGCAGAAGGATCGCCAGAGTCCAGCAGGTCAAGGCTGTGGTGTCCATGAGTGTGCCACTGCACTCCAGCCTGGATGAAAGAAGTGAGACTCCGACTCAAAAAAAAAAAAAAAAAGAACAAAACTAAACTATAGCACTCATGGATGCATATTTGGGTGATAAAAGTATTAACAGAAAAACAAAAGGAAGTGATTATTATGAAGGTATGTGTGGAGAACAGGATGGGCATGGAAGGACTTCTGGAGTGGCTGGCAAGGTTCTGCTTCCTCTGCTTGAGTAGTATTCACCTTATAATAATATTAAACCATGCATATGATTTTACTGATTTCCTATTTATTTTATAAATTTATTCATTTATTTATTTATTTACTTCTTCCCACATTAATAATATGTAATTTATTGTCAAGTCTGTTATTCAAAGATGATATGGAAGGATGCACTCATGATTCCTGAAAACCATTTCTCAATTTATTTTTGAGTTGGAGTCTCACTCTGTCACCCAGACTGGAGTGCAGTGGCCACTCCCAGCCACCACAGCCTCAACCTGCTGGGCTCCGGCGATCCTTCTGCCTCAGCCTTCCAAGTAGCTGGAACTACAGGCGCGTGCTACCATGCCCGGCTAATTTTTTGATTATTGTAGAGATGAGGTCTCGCCAAGTTGCCCAGGCGGGTCTTGAACCCGCGGGCTCAGGCAATTCACTCATCTCAGCCTCCCAAAGCATGGGATTACAGGTTGAACCACCGAACCCGGTTTATTTATTTATTTTTTAAATTTAAATTTTTTTTTTTTGAGTTGGAGTCTCACTCTGTCACTCAGACTGGAGTGCAGTGGCCGCTCTCGGCCACCGCAGCCTCGACCTGCTAGGTTCCGGCAATCCTTCCGCCTCAGCCTTCCAAGTAGCTGGAACTATAGGCATGCGCGACCACGCCCGGCTGATTTTTTTATTTATTGTAGAGATGAGGTCTCGCCAAGTTGCCCAGGCGGGTCATGAACCTACAGGCTCAGGTAATCCACTCACCTCAACCTCCCAAGGCATGGGATTACAGGCTGAGCCACTAAGCCCGGCTTATTTTATAAATTTAAAAAAGAGCTGGGCACAGTGGCTCACATCTGTAATCCCAGCACTTTGGGAGGCAGAGGTGAGAGGATTGCCTGTGTCCAAGGGTTCAAGACCAGCCTGGGCAACTTGGCGAGACCTTGTCTCTATGGTAAATCAAAAAACTTAGCCAGATGTGATGGTGCATGCCTGTGGTTCCAGATACTTGGAATTCATATTAAATATACTATTAAATTACTGGAACCAATTATTCTATTGTAATGATATTTGGCTCATCATGGGATTTTAGGCATTGAGAAACTTATGACAAAAAATCAAAATTTTATATTTTTCTAATGTGTGCTAATGTGTGAAACAGTCACCAACATGCATTGCAGGTTCATTGATACATGTTGTGCGATAATAACTGACATCTTCCACTTGGCGTTTTCCTATTCAGGCAGATAATGCAGTCTCATTTTCTTCTTCCCACATTAATAATATATAATTTATTGTCAAGTCTGTTATTCAAATATGATGTGGAAGGACGCACTCATGATTCCTGAAAACTATTTCTCAATTGATCAATCATATCTCAGTATACATTCCATCTCTTTATCTGATTTTTTCATGCAATTTTCAACATTTTTGAAAAATTTGTGCTTGCATAAGTTTGTCCTGTATAATCACCAGTAATCTCTTTATGTCCACTGAGAGGGGACATCAGAGTGGTTTGCTAGATTCACAATGTCCCCACAGAGATATCCAAGTGCAAAGGGCTAAAATTTAAAAATAAATAAATAATAAGGGAAATTGGGCATGGGGGTGTATGAAAACTGTGCTATCTGTAATTCTTCTTTTTCTTTTTTTTCCGAGTTGGAGTCTCACTTGGTCGCCCAGACTGGAGTGCAGTGGCTGCTCCCGACCACCGCAGCCTCAACCTGCTGGGCTCTGGCGATCCTTCCGCCTCAGCCTTCCGAGTTAGCTGGAACTACAGGCACGTGCTACAACGCCCGGCTAATTTTTTTTTTTTTTTTTTTTCTGAGTTGGAGTCTCTGTCGCCCAGACTGGAGTGCAGTGGCCGCTCCCAGCCACCGCAGCCTCGACCTGCTAGGCTCCGGTGATCCTTCCGCCTCTGCCTTCGGAGTAGCCAGAATTACAGGCATGCGCTACCACACCTGGCTGATTTTTTTATTTATTGTAGAGATGAGGTCTCGCTGCCCAGGCGGGTCTCGAACCCGCGGGCTCAGGCAATCCACTCACCTCAGCCTCCCAAAGGCATGGGATTACAGGCTTAGCCACCAAGTCCACCTTGTAATTTTTCTACAATCCTAAAATAAGTTGTTTTTTTTTTTTTTTTTTTGAGTTGGAGTGTCACTCTGTCCCCTAGCTTGGAGTGCAGTGGCCGCTCCCGCAGCCTCAACCTGTTGGGATTCGGCGATCCTTCCGCCTCAGTCTTCCGAGTTGATGGAACTACAGGCGCGCGCTACCACACCCGGCTAATTTTTTATA